CTGGCACAAAATCAATGAGATCTCGACCCTGCACGRCGTACTCTGTGACTTCGTGCAAGGCCTCATGAATGACGTTTCTGTCGTCCTCTGTCTTGTTCATGAGGTCACATAGCTGATCAAGCAGAACGTATTCCACACCGTCTGCAACAATCACGGGAAACTCTTGAAAGTCCTGGGGCGGTGTTTGTGTCATGTCCTTGATTCTGGACAACACTAGTATTTCTGCAGCACCCATCTTCAACTCGTCGTTCGCCCAAGCATGTCCCATCCCTTCGCCACACTCACCATAAACTTCCTGAAAGTCACAGGTGTATAGGTCCCTCCTTTCTGCTGCATTGTCATGTCGACAAGTCCTTCGTCGCACATGCCTTCGTTGCACATCCATTGCACAACTCCTTTTCGACTGTATAGGCTGTCTTCCGCGTCGCTGTCCACACGAACATCAGGTGACTCTCTCAATCATTCCAAGAGTGTTCGTGCCTGCACACAACCACTGCCGTTGCATACTTCATCACCTCTGTGAGAGCCTTCACCACCTGTGCTACCGACATCGGCATGATGCACAAGCTTTGTCTTTCGACCTCTTCTCTCTGCCAGCGGAAACGTACAAAAACGTCATCGACATGTCTGTGTGTGTGTGTGTGTGCGTGTGTGTGTGTGTGTGTGTTTGTGTTTGTGTGTGTGTGTGTGTGTGTGTGTCGAGGTTGGCTACTGCGGGCCATTCACTGTTGCAAGGGTTATCGTTTGGCAGATTCTGGCACGCAGTAGCCAACTTCAGGGTGGCGTCCAACAACGTGTGTGTGTGTGTGATTGTGTGTGTGTCGACACATAAGATAGGGGCAACAACTGGAGTGCGAGGGTATGGCAGGCGAGAGGTGTGTGATGAGATTCGCAGAATTCTCAACACTCACCGCTACTTCATGAGCTCAATCGACCTTGGTGATTACCTGTCGGTAGAGACTGTCACCACCTGCTGGACAGGTCCATTTCGGGAGCCATGTGTGGGAGTACGTCATCCATACAGACAGACAGACAGACTGTCTGTTCAACAGACAGAAAGACCGACAGTCTAACACAGGGACACACATCCAGACAGACCTACAGAGAGACAGACCGACAGACAGACTGATTGACACACTGATAGACACACAGACAGACTGACAGACTGACTGATTGACACACTGAAAGACAGACAGACTAACTGACAGACACACAAACAGACAGACTGACAGTCAGACTGACAGACAGACAAACAGACAGACAGACAGACAGGAACACAGACAGACTGACAGACAGACAAACAGAATTAC